CACTCAACCAAACTGGTTAATTAACTCAGTCCAGAATTGAAAATTAGGTATCACTTTGCTCTTTTGGAGGAGAGGGAACAGAAATACTGGCTGTCACTCGTAACAAAATCAACAGCTTTTTGGAACCGGACCATAAACTCAAAATAGGCAGATTATGAAATATGTGGTAGGAGAAATAAGGGAGGGAACACTGTTCCCTATTTCCTTTCGGTAGCTTTTCTGGGTCTGTACCACTCTTTGGAGGGTTAATACTGGAGTGCTACAATGTTTTGGTTGATGGCATCCAGTTTTCATGGATAATGACTCTATAACAGATGATAGGAACTGCCTTGTCATGTACAAAGAAATGTTTCAGATCCTAGCAACTGTTTGTTTGCAGACTCTTATCTTGCAAGTATTTGAGCTACATCAGCATGCATGAGACAGTTATGACACAGTTTGACACTCCAAGTGTGTGGGTGAATGAGGGGGGAATGTGTTTTGTGTTCTCCACTAAATCACATGCTATAGGTGTACAACATACTTGGCTTTGGATTACAGAATTGCATGATTTTTAATGTTTGTAAGCTACCACACTTTGGCAATTAAGCTTCTTGACTTTTCAGAAGTGGACCATTGTAAATTGACTTGTTTTGCACTTGTACTGTTTTTAATGTTTTAATGTCAAACAATGCCTTATTGTGGTGTCACTTTTTTTGCATTGTGGGATCTCTTCACACTGCTGTGTAATGTTGGTCCCGTTCCCCTTGTCTTGCCTTTTTTAGTTTCAATATGGCAGTTACTTGCTGGCACTGTCCTTAAACCTGACTTCTGTGAGAAGAAGTGTGTTTTGTCTGTTTGACAATAAAGATTTATATTTTTAATTTTCAAATTTTAAGTGGTCTGTGAAACTCCTTTCCTACCTTTCTGCTGGTAGGGCCTGTAAAGATACTGATGTAAAAACACCTTCCTCTGCTCTCCATGACACTTCTCATGGCACACGCGTTCTAACCTGAAGGATGCTGCTTGTGTTTGCTGACCAACATGGAGAACAAGGTTCTTTTTTAAATTGTACAGATAACTTGAAATGGTTCAAATGATGAAATGGGCAGGTTCTGCCACAATGTGGGTTAAACACTGTTGAATTATAAAGGAGCGGTTGGTGCTTGTATAATTATTCAATGCAAATAACAGTAGGCAGAGAAGCCTACCTCCTTGTCAGGTGAATGCATTTGCTGCCATCAACAAAGATTCAGCTTACGTGCTTGCCATTTTGAGAGAGAACAAGTTTTTCAGAAGCTACATGTATTTGGTGTTCTGTGGCAAATCTTGGTGACTAGGATTCTAATGACTATAGAAATCAAATGGTGCTTTCTTAGGCTGCTATGGTGCAAATTCATTAGTGTGTGGAGTTCAATGAGTGTTTGAAGGAAAGCTGTTAGCTGCTTAAAGACTCATATAACTAAAAGTTATTATGTGTGTTTAATGAATAGCCATTGGAATGATCAAATGGGAATTACAAAAAGTGACTGACCTCTTTAAAAGAACAATATAGAAGGGCATTAACACATTCTTTTTATAGTAGAATAAATTTAAAATGAGACCAATTAACTCTGATATTGTTTTCAGTTGGTTATTGTTAACAAAAATGGCTAAATCTATATCCTCAGTGGTCCTAGCTTGACTTCATTTCTCAACCCTCAAAGAGGTAGTGAAGCTATCACTATACATGTGGGTTTTGAAGTAAGGAGAATATCCTTTTGGAAAAGGAAAGCCTTCTAGTTGTGAGGATGACAAAAAATAGCATGTAGTGAAGGTAGTACTAATATTTGCCTTAAATCAGCTGGCCTATCCCTGCTCCCAATATAGAAAACAGCAGTTAACTGCTCTTCCCCTATGAATTATCTTTTTTTAAATGCTAGCTTAATATATCATGTATAGCCCAGTTCTAAAAGACATCTATCTCTTAGTAGGCAGTCTAGTAGGGCTGTGTGAAACAGCACTGTTCTGTTTTCATGGAACAATGTTTCATTTCGTTTAGTTTCATTTCATTTTGAAACCAGTGTTCCAGTTTGTTTGTTTCATCGAAGCTGTTTCCATATTTTGCCCAAAGGCTATAATGAGGAAGCATGATACTGCTTATAATTTTGTCACTTCTTGCCTGATTTTAAATTTTGCAGGGATAGTAGCCTCTTCTGAGGCCATGAAGTTTGCAACATTTTCAAGGGGATAGGTACAGGGCTTTCTGGGAAACAGCACCTCAGGCTGCTGACAAGCAAAACTCATGACATGAGTGGCATGTGTGCATGCATTAAGGTGTGCCCTCACTAGTGCTGGGTCCTCTACATAAAACAGTGTGCCCCAGTGAGGTCTCCTCCCATACAGCCTCAGCCTGGTCCACTTTAAATGACAACAGGTAAAATAGTAACTTTAGTGAGCAGCACCACAGTCACACCAGCAGCATCTCAGGCAGCCAAACTATGCCACAGCCTTTCTTTCCTCCTCTGGCAGCTGCTGGAGAAGCAGCAGCTTCTGCAGGAAACTCACCCTGCCAGCCCCAGCCTTGGTGTTTAGGTGTGCCCAGGGCCCTGCATCCTTCTGGTCATGTGTTTAGGGGTATTGGTCTAAGAACATGGTCAGCTGGGTCAATCTAATCTGATATCTTTTAGCAGACCACCTGAACAGTTACAGAAATATATCATAATGAGTTTTTGGGTTGAAAAACCTTTTGTCAAGCAGAAGAAGCACCTGCAGTTGGGGGGGGGGGGGGGG